GAGCCTCAGTAGAGGGAAAATGTGGCCTTGAGAATCCAATTCTGTTTCTTTTCTTTTTTCCTTCTTCTTTTGCTGGTCCTAGGACTTGAACTCAGGGCCTGTGGGCTCGCTTTTCCTGAGCTTTTGTGCTCAAAGCTAGCATTCTACGACTTGAGCTACAATTCTCCTTCCAGCCTTTTTTTGTTTTGTTTTGTTTTTGATAGTTAATTAGAGCTCAGAGTCTCTCGGGGCTTTCCCACCCAGGTTGGCTTTGAACCACGATCCTCAGATCTCAGCCTCCTGAGTAGTTAGGATGACAGGCATGAGCCACCGGCCCTCAACCCAGTCCTGCTGGCTTGTTTCCCCCTCCAGGATGATACAGCTTGTCACTTCCCCCTAGGGAAGGCCCCAGGATGGCCGATTACACGGTGACACCTGATGATGAGTACGATGTCCTCATCCAAGATGAGGAGGGGAATGAGACCATCTGGCCAGAGTCCTGTGACCCATATCCGGTCAGCATCCTCACGGCTCAGCAGATGCCCTGGCTCTTCTCCATCATCTGCGTGCTGGGTCTCCTGGACGGTGTGTTGATGGTGTTTCTCCTGGTAAAACACAAAGGCCTCAAACACCAGGGGAACGTCTATTTCCTCCAGTTGGCTGTCTCGAACTTCTGCTTCTGGCTTCCCCTGCCTTTCTGGGCTCACCCGATCTCCCAGCAGACAAATCTGGGGGATCTCACGTGTACCGTGGTCACCGGCTACCACTCAGTGGCCGTGTACAGCAAGGTGGCCTTCCTGGTTGTGCTGATCCTGCAGAGGTATCAAGCATTCTTGCACGCGCGATGGCTGACTCCGGGCCTGGAAACCACAGCTGGGAAAATCCTCACCAGCATTCTGGCTTGGGGATTGGCTGTGGGGGTGAATTTGCCCGAGTTGGCCTTCTATCAACCTTCCCTGCGGAGTCAGACGTGGAAATGTGCTTGGAGCCAGCAGCCCTTTCCACCATCAGCCGAGCCCTCCTGGAAATACTTCCTGACCTTAAAAATGAACATTCTGCTCCTGGCAATCCCTTTGGCTGTATGGTTATTCTGTGGCGTGCGGATGAGTTCCACATTGACCTTGAGCACCCGGCAGGATGACCTTGCCCGGCTGGTTTTCCTGCTGATGCTGATCTTCCTTCTCACGTGGGCACCGTACCAGGTTGCCCTGCTCCTCTCCACCCTCCAGCCTCCCTCCACACCCCTGCAGGACTGCAAGATCCGGCACAAGCTGGACACTGGCGTCCAGATCACCAGAATAATCGCCATCACCCACTGTGGCATCAGTGCTATCCTCTACTTGCTACTGGATGTGGTGTGTAAGAGCCGCGTCTGCAGGCGGCTTCTGGGCTGTGGCGATGGCTCTCTGAGGCTCCGTGACCAAAACTCCTCTGCCTCAGTATCCCCAGGACAGCGCCAGGACCATTGCACTCACGTCTAAGTGAGCCTGTGTCAAAAGCAGGGCCGATGGCCGTGCATGTGGGTCGCTTTGCGTGGTTTTGTGTGATTGTGTGTGGATGTGAACCAAGCAGTAGAACACCCTCCTAGAAATAGGGTGCTTAAAGGCTAGCGTGCCCAGGCCCTGAGCTCAAGCCCTAGCCCCAATTACTTGCACACACACACACACACACACACACACACACACACACACACACACACGATGACACCTTAAGAAAGACAGACATCCAACAATGGCTCTCTGATTTTTATTTCTTTCCAAGTGACAACAGGAGATCAAGAAGGCCAGACAGGGGGTACTGGAGCTCAGTCCATGTAGGAATCGGGGAGCAGGCTCCTGGGGAGTCTGGGTCATCTTCTTTTTGAGTTTTACTTCTCTAGGAAAGCACAGGCATCCAGGAGTGCTGCGGGATGAGTTCAGAAATGGAGGTTTGAGTAAATCAGGAGAAACCAATAGATTAAGAAGGCAAGCCAGATGCTGGAGACCAGGGCTCATGCTGTAGTCCCAGGCTGGCCGGGAACTCAGGATTTTCCTACCTCTGCCTTCGCTAGTGCTGGGATTATAGACATGTATTACCCTGCTCGGCCCTGTTTAGCTTTGTCTGTCTAGTGAAAGTTACGAATCCTTCTGGAAGAAAATATGTACGTAATAAAAAAAAATTCAAAAAGCACTTCTAAAAGTCATCACCTTCTTCTTTTTAATCCAGTATGTTTTTAATGAACAGTACATAAAACTGTCGAAGCAATTTTTTTTTAAAGTGGCTGATTTTTGGAAAACATCTTCGTTTAAAAGGATTCTTGTTGGGCGCTGGTGGCTCATGCCTACATTCCTAGCTACTCAGGAGATCTGAGGATCGCGGTTCGAAGCCAGCCCAGTCAGAAAAGTCCATGAGACTCTTATCTCTAATAAATTATGGAGAAAAAGCCAGAAATGGCACTGTGGCTCAAGTGGTAGAGCACTAGTCTTGAGCATAAAAAAGGCTCTGGGACAGCACCTAGGCCTTGAGTACAAGCCCCGGGACTGGCAAAAAAAAAGAGAAAAAAATCCTTAGTAGAAGAAAAAAAAAGAAAGAAAAATAAAATAAAAAAAGAATCCTTAGTTAAATATAGTCCTTAGTTCAAATAAGGGACAAGGTTATTTTTCCTGTTGAGCATTTTTTAAAGTTAAGTTCACAAGAAGACTTTGCATTTCAAAATACAACTTCTTTTTATGAAGTATTTTTATTTAATGATCTTTTGTTGTTGCTCTTGTTTCTTTGGTACCCAGGAATCGAACCCAGGGCCTCATGCATGCTAGGCAAACACTCTCCCATTAAACCACAATCCCAGCCCCCTCAAAAATCCTACTTCTGGGCACCAGTGGCTCACGCCTGTCATCCTAGCTACTCAGGAGGCTGAGATCTGAGGATCCTGGTTCAAAAACCAGCCCAGGCTGAGAAGTTATAAAACTCTTATTCTCCAATGAACCACCACACACACAAAAAGTTAGAAGTGGAGCCGTGGCTCAAACGGTAGAGCATCTTTTAAAGCCCAGGGACAGCAGGAGGCCCTGAGTTCAAATCCTACCATGGGCACCAAAATAAAAATGATAAAGAAATAAATGGAATTAGAATCGAACATTTTCCTGATGGTGATGGATTTTCCCACAATGCAGCTGTACCCACACACGCACCCCTAGACCTTTACCCTGACCTTCACACACGCTGCTACCCAGGGAAGCTCCACTTACGGGAGGTGGAGCATTGTGTCAGTGTAGTTGTGGCGGTGACATACTGCTGTCCCAAGAACTTCACATAGGTTGTTTTGCCCTGCAGTCTGGCTAGACACTCGGTGTTGTCATTGAATAGGAGGTTTTTCGTGTCCGACTGGAATAGACAAAACTCGCCCGGACACTTCTGTCCAGTTCTTCCAAACAGAATCTGGGACAGAAAAACAGACAATAAGGGAATAACACCACAAAGACTGGAGGGTGTGCTGGAGGATCGCAGTTTGAGGCCAGCCCAGGCAGGAAAGTCCCCATGAGACTCTTATCTCCAATGAACCACCAGAAAGTTGGAAGTGGCGCTGTGGCTCAAGTGGTAGAGCGCCAGCCTTGAGCTGAAGAGCTGAGGGACAGCACCCAGGCCCTGAGTTCAAGCCCCATGACCGACAAAAAAAATAAAATAAAACAACAACACACCAGTGATCATGATGCCGCATACCTGTTGCTCCAGCAACACTTGTTCAACGACGTTTGCCTTCTCTGACCGAGATACCACAGCGTGGTTTGGGGCCATAGCCAGGTGACAGCTCCGAGCCTCAGTCACCGGCTTCCGAGAGCCATCCAGACACAACAGCTCATAGTCCTCAAGTTTTAAGTCTCTAGCCCATGCCTCTGTGTTTTTTCCTGGCAAGAGAAGAAAGGTGGCATCAACCCCGGAGGCCCTATTTGGTCCTGGAGTCCCAGGTAACGGTCTTATTGGGGCTTTCGTGAAGACAGAATGAATGAACCTTTGTCCTGCACGAGCTATGTGGACTCTGCCTATTCCTAACACTGGAGTTGTAGGCACGTGTTAACATGCTATTCAGGGAGAAAGCCAAGTGAACACCTGCTACCAAAGTTCTGTTTCTAACCTGGGGCCCAGTGGTTCATTCATGTCTGCGATCCCAACTGTAAAAGAAGTATAAAAATAGGAGGTTCACAGTCCAAGCCAGCCCAGATAGGAGACTCTATTCAAGAAAAATAAATAGATAAAGGCAAGGCCGGGGGTCCTGGTAGCTCACACCTGTCATCCCAGCTACTCAGGAGGCTGAGATCTGAGGATCATGGTTCAAAGCCCACCCAGGCAGGAAAGTATAGAAGACTCAGTCTTTGATTAACCACCAAAAAGGCAGAATGGCTCAAATGGTAGAACACTACCTTTAAGCAAAAAAGCATAGAGACAGTGCCCATGTTTTGGACTCAGGATTCTTCTTCTTCTTCTTCTTCTTCTTCTTCTTCTTCT